CCTGGCTGTCCTAGAACTCACTCTGTAGACCAGGCTGGCCTGGAACTCAGTGCTCCATCTGCATCTGCTTCCCAAGTTCTGGGATTAAAGGCGTGGTCCTCCTCCTCCTCCTCCACCACCACCACCACCTGGTACAGGATATCCATCTTTTTTTTTTTTTATTATGTATATAACATTCTGCTTCCATGTATATCTGCACACCAGAAGAGGGCACCAGGTCTCATAACAAATGGTTGTGAGCCACCATGTGGTTGTTGGGAATTGAACTCAGGACCTCTGGAAGAGCAGTCAGTGTTCTTAACCTCTGAGCCACCTCTCCATACCCAGGATATCCATCTTAAAACTGATTTTTTTTTTTTTAAGTTAAGGTCTCACTACCTAGATCTGGCTGGTCTGGAACTCACTGTGTATATTGGGCTATCTGGCTGGTCTGGAATTTTACCTGTCTCCATCTCCCCAATGCTGGGGTTAAACAGGAGTACGCCACTATGTCCAGCAACAGCAAAATCAAAAGGAAGAAAATTAGGGCCAGTGAGATGTCTAAACGGCCAAGGTGCTTGTCATGCAAGCCTTACACGCTAGCTGTCTCTGAAATCCACAGGGGGAAGGAGAGACTTGACTCCTCCAAGTGACTCCTCCAAGCTCTGAGGTCCACACAGGCAACCAGCATCTTTACCTCCTGAGCTGGTCCCAGTCAGAGACTTTTATTTAAATGGAATACCAAAGATTAAGCTGGATGTCATGGTAATGCCAGGACTTGGCTGAAACAGGAGCATCCCCTACAGTGAGGCCAACCAGGTCTACTAAGCAAGTTACATGCCAGCCTAGGCTACCACATCTCAGAAAAGCAAAGATGTTTACCACATAGGGTGGTCCACTATGTGATAGTCATAGCTACAGGAGACTGAAGTAGGAGGGTGGCTTGAGAGTCTAGGAGAAGCAGCAAGCAAGACCCACCGGGATTAGAGGGGCGGGGGTGGAGACCAACCCAGATATACTCTCTTTAACCCAGGCATGCCTCCAATTTGCTATGTAACCTTGGATGACTTTGAACATCTGATCTTCCTGCTTCTACCTTTGGAGTGCTGGGATTATAGGCATTCATTACCACATTGATTTATTATGTGGTGTTGGGATGAACCATGGGCTTCGTGCATGCTAAGAAAGGAAAATCCAGGCCAAGGTCCTTCCCCCCCCCCCCCCAAGGACCCTGAGGCCATTACTGTGCCCTGTCTTGACATTTTGCTCATGACATTCAGTATCTCCCCACTTTCTCTCCCTAGTGAGGAGCCAGTAGGTGCCTGGAGCTTTTCCCTCGGTGAAAGCAGCCCTTCCTGTCCCTGTGGAAAACTGGTATTTGGCTCCTTGCAAGGACTGCGTTATCTTTCCCTCAGTAAAAAACAAGTTAGCCAACAAAAGAAAGTGGCAGGCTGGTGAGACTGCCAACAAAGAGGATTTGCCGAATGTGTTTGTCCTGCTTGCTCAGGGTGACTAAAGCTGAGTCAGCCAGGCCCTGGGGAAGTACTGACTTTCTCTGCCTGCAAAGCAAAGTCAGCTGAAGACCTGCTGTTTTCCTGTAGGTTATCAGTTCTGTTTCCCAGAGTGAACAAGCCTCAACTGGATCACTCGTTCCTGGGAAGCCTCTGTTTTCCCTAGTTCCCAGGGCGGGACAGCGATCCTAGAATGGGCCCTCAGTGACCCAGAGTCCTCTGCCAGGACAAAGGTCCTTCCCTCAGCCCCCCAGGTTGTTCAAGCGCCAAGCCAGTCCCTTCAGATCAGGGATGTGACTGGGCGGGGTAGGGCTGCTGTCTTCTGCTCTGGGCAGTGTTTTCAGTACAGACACAGCCCTCAGCCCTCCCCACTGGCACTAGAAACATACACCCCACACCCTAAACACATGGAGCTATTTCAGACATGAAAGAACAGTCAAGTCAGGCTGGCTGTGACAAAACAGCCCCAGAAAGCAGAGAGGGCCTCAGACACTGCAATTTCACAGTCCTTCTGATTTAGCTCAGCAGAATACCTTCGGCTGGTAAGGCTGCTGGGCTTCGCTTGGCTGATGACAGTGAACAATATCAAGGCCCAGGTGACACTTACCTGTCTTCTGGTCCCCGCTGACCAAGAACTCAAGGATACTGTTCATGGCCCCCATGTAGAAGATGAGCCGCAGCTGTGTGACACACATGGTAACCAGGCTGAGCAGCAGGATGGGGCTGAACACACTGTGCATGAACGAGGGGGCCGCTGTGGGAAGAAGGCATGGGGCTCAGGGCCAGGAGACAATGACCCATCCAGCATCCAGGGGCTGGGGAAGGGAAGAAGGCCCAATGTGCTGACTGTGCAGGAGGTGAGGATGGCAAGCCTCACGGTGAGGTTAATGGTGTTGATGCTCACGGGCAGACTTCCTAAGCTCAGTGGTGTATGCGTCTGTCAAACAAGACAGGTGGTACCTCTGCCCCTTCTGAGACAGAGCAGGAATTCAGAGAGAGAGAGAGAGAGAGAGAGAGAGAGAGAGAGAGAGGATATCCACAGAGCCTCAGCCAATAATTCCCTACCAAGGGGGGCCCTGGGATACCCCTGCAGTGTAAATGAGGATGCCCCCACAGATCTCTTGGGCCAACCTGGAAGCTGAGAGTCGGGTGTTGGGTACCTGCAGCATCAGGCTGGCACTTCACCTCCAGGTCAACGGTGGACAGGCACAGCTTGTGGCCCTCCTGCAGCGCAGCCTGCTCCTTGGCACTCCTCATGGAGCTACCCACGCTCAGGCGGCGCCCCACTGTGGTCACCTGCTTGTAGAACTGCTTCCCTGTGATCTTGTGGTCAAAGCCCAGCCAGCTGAACTTGATCTTCACCCTAGAGACCACAGGAAGGGTGTTTGCCGGTGCTGCCTGGGACCCTGGCTGGCGTGAGGGTAGGGCAGAGAGCATGCCCACTTACGAGTAGTCCATGTCCTCTGGTCCTGGGAAGGGTTCTAGTGGCCAGTTGAAGAAACAGTTGAGGAAGACCAGGCCAGAACAGCCAGCCCAGACCACCAGGATGACAATGAAGGAGGCACCAGCATCGTAGATGAGCTATCGGGTGAGGGGCAGAGTTATCAGTGAGAAGCCAGAAAGGGAATTGGGCAAGGGACAGCTGGGAGCCCCCATTGTCCTGTGCTGTATTTGAAAAGACACACCCCCCTGTGAGCTGAGTGGCTTGGTTATTAGAAGCCCTGTATTCTGATAATCCCAACCTTTCTGTCCCTGGAATCCAATTTGAACCAAATGTCACCTCTTTTTTCTTTTCTTTTTTTTTTTTTTTTTGGCTTTTGTTTTTTTGGAGACAGGGTCTCTCTGTGTGGCTCTGGCTGTCCTAGATCTCACTCTGTAGCCCATGCTGGCTTGAAACTCACAAAGATCCCCCTGCCTCTGCATTCCAAGTGCTGGGATTAAAGGTGTGTGCCACCACGGCCCAGCTAATGTCACCGTCTTTTTGTTTTGTTTTTTTTGAGACAGGGTTTCTCTGTGAAACAGCCCTGGCTGTTAAGAGGTGACCACATTATCTCTGCTATGCCCGTCTCACAGGATCACAGCGAACAGTCCTGGCTAAGACTGTTCTTCTTCTTCTGAGGGTTTTTCTTCTTTGAGACAAGTTCTTTTGTAGCCCTGGCTGGCCTCAAACTCACTATGCAGTCTTGAACTCTTGATCCTTCTGCTTCCATCTCCAGAGTGCTGGGATTACAAGCAGTCTAGTCTTTCTGCTGTTGGGCTCACTGACTGTCAGTCTAGTTCCCCAATGGCAGGAACCTGGCAGCCTCATCCACTGTTTCTCTGGCCTTTAAGAATACACATGGCGGGCCTTGGTGGCATGCACCTTTAATCCCAGCACTTGGAATGAGGGAGGCGGATCTCTGTGAGTTCGCGGCCAGCCTGGTCTACAGAGCGAGTGCCAGGATAGGCTCCAAAGCTACCGAGAGAAACCCTGTCTCAAAAAAAAAAAAAAAAAAAAAAAGAATACACATGGCAGGGGCTCCAAGACACTGAAGAGACTGACCGACATGGCTCCCTTAGTATCTCCATGGAATAGGTGTTGATACTGTACCTGGAGGTGCTTTGCCCAGGGTAAATGGTAATACTGGCAGAGAACAGATTGCTGTGCATTCAGCATCGACTGTGGCCATTGCGTTTTTCTCAAGTACTAGTAACTGAACTTAGGGCCTCCTGTGTGCTGGCCAAGTGCCTACCACTTAGCTTTACCCCTGGCTTTTGAAGAAAGGTGAGACAATCAGAGCAATGATGGTGCACGCCTTTAATCCCAGTACTGGGGAGGCAGAGGCAGGAGGATCTCTGTGAGTTCGAGGCCAGCCTGGTCTATAGAACTATTTCCAGGACTGCCAAGGCCACACAAAGAAACCCTGTCTCAAACAAACAAACCCCTAAAACAAAAAAACAAACAACAAAAACTTGTGAGACAAGCACTGACTTACCGGCTTAGGGTGCCCTTGAACTTGCCATCCCCTCCTGCCTCAGCTTCCTTAGTAGTTATGATTATAAATCTATGTCCCCAGGCCTGTCTTCCCAGACCCAATGAGAGGATCCCCTAAGTGTCCTAGCATATAGCTGCCCAACTCCCTGGGACAGAGCCCAGCACGTATATATATACAGAGGACGAAGAACTTCTGCTTCCTCCACCATCCACGAGCAAGAGAAAGTTCACAAGATAGCTGGCCTGATTCCTACTACCCACCACATGGATTCCCAGGTTTCCAGCTGACGTCCGAGGCTCCCTCTCATCATCATAGCACCCCATACCCCTAAAGTTAGCTTCACCTCAATGCTAGTGCTTCAGGAGGGAAAAGACCCTGATGACACCCTGACATAGCAACAGACAGGGGAGGGAAGTGAACCAAGGAGATTGTGAGCCTAGGCTTCTTCCTGATTCCACGTGACTTCCACAGGCTCAGAATCCTGCCTGGGAGGGAAACAGCTGAACCAACTAGGTGGACAGCAGAGCTCTGGCTAATGGGGAGCATCGGCCCAACATCAACAGGCTGGAGACTCCCAGGCCCGGAGGCCAGCTCACTCACCCTACTTCCCCTTCCCCAACCAGCCTGTGGTCACACACCACAGTACAACACTCAAGTCCTCCCCTTCAGGGCCTAGCGGTTTTCTCTTCTTGCTCCTGTGGTGCCAGGTGCATCCTGCCCAGGTGGGAGGGGCAGTTGAGGGGGCCATCCCTAATGCCTATAATGATTTCTCTTCAGAGAGGCTGCAGTGGCCTAGGTGGTGGCCTAGGGGGAGGCCTCTGCCCCGATGCTAGGATAAAGCTTGGGGGGGGGGGGAGAGGCAGGGATTGACCACACCCTCACCTTGATTCCCGGGAAGGTAACTGCTGAGGAAGCATAGGATCCAATCATCAAGGCAATAAATGTTGATCGAAGGTCACCGAACATATTGGGCAGCTGAGGGGATGGATGGAGGAAAGAAAGGCTTAGGTCACAGGTGTGTCTCATCTTTTGACATTGTGACACAACACTGTCATCTGCAAATTTCATACCAGAGAACTACGCAATTGAGCTTACAAGAATGGCAAGAAGGCCTTGCTCTAAGTAAGCTTATGACTTTGTATTGGGCTGCATTCACGGCTGTCATGGGCTGAGTCGGACTCGCCTGAGGTGGTGGTGGGGGAGCAGCTAGCAAGGGCCAGTCCTCACGTCTCACCTGCTCTCTCCCCCTCTGTGGAATTCACAGCATAGCAGACTAGGCAATTGCCACCAACTGCAAGTTTTTCCCTTCTCGGACAGAGATGGAGAAGGGACAGAGGTAAGGAAGAAATCCAACTCCAGAAGAAGAGACATAGCCTTGACTGTCTACACACTCCCCCACCACGCCTGACACAGACTAGGGCTCTTACCATATTGGCCATATTTGAAGGAGGTGTCAGAGAGCAAAGCTGTGAGCCTTAGGCACCCCTCAAAGGGAAAAAGGCCGTTAAAAATAAGACTCTATTTGGGGAAAAGAGTGTCATTTTATAAATAAAAATACCAGAGTCCCAGAAAGGACCAGATGTCAGCAAAAGCTGCTTTCGGTTTTGAGAGAGTGTTTCTGGAAGACGCCAATCACAATCCTAACAAGGCAGGTGGCTCCCCAATTCCTACCTCTGAGTTGAGTGTATATAGAAGATTCTCTCCACTTAGACACTTTAGCCTGGGAGTCACCTGGCAGGCACCTTGAGAAAGCCAAGATTAGGAAGGCGCTTTTTTTTTCCTCCATGAGCCCTCCAAGCATGGGTGCAAAGCAAGAGCAGCCCCATCTGAAATGACTTCAATGCCAAACCCCAATGATTCTCAGGCCTGGTAAGACACCACATCATGGGCTGAAGCCCTGACTCAGCGGTTAAGAGCACTTGTTCTTGCAGAGTACTGGGTTTGGTTCCCAGCACTGACAGGGACTCACAGTCATCATTAACTCGAACACCTTCTTCTGGCCTCTGTATACTGCACACATGGTACAAATACATACATAATAGACAAATGCTCATACACATAGAATTTTACACACACACACACACACACACACACAGAGTACAACACATTGGACTGATGAGATATAGCTCAGGGAGTAAAGGTATTTGTCATCAAGCCTGACAGCCTGAGTTTGATCCCAGGATCCACACCATACCAGAGAAGCAATTCCTGAGTCATCTTCTGACCTCCAAGAATGCTCCCTGCCACCACAAATTTATATGGATTTTAAATTAAAAAAAAAAAAAGTTAAAGTTATCACAACACAGCCATGGATAGATTCTAACCCATTGGACAAAGCACACCCTCCCCACAGCTGTTCCCCTATCTCAGGAGCCTATACCACGTCATGAAGTAGTGCCACTGGTGCTGGCCACATTCTCCTGAGAGTTATGTCCACCTATCTCATTAAATTCAGCCAGTGTGTGTGAGCTTAAGCTGTGCTCCTTCCCTCATTGCCTGGGATCATTTTTGTTTTATCAGTGTGACTGCAGCCTGAGCACAGAGACACACACCCAGAATCCAGCACTAAGGTGGCTAAGGAAAGAGCATCTCAAAGTTCTAGGCCAGTTGAGGCTCATAGCATACTCTATCAAGATAAAAGATGGTCCCTGTGAGTCGGTTCCTTGCTACTAATATGGGGGTAGCTGGGATGCTCTGCCTGTCTCTCATTATTTCTGCCTGGTTTTGCTCAGGATTAAATAAATAAGCAATGAACATTATCAAAAAATATTTAAATGTCTATTATCCAAGACAGGCAGAGGCAGGAGGATCACTACAATTGTAAGGTCAGTCTGGTCTACATAGTTAATGTCAGGCCAACTAGGACTTTGTAGCAAGATCCAGCCTCCCCCCACAAAAAAAAAAAAAAAAACACAAAACAAAACAAAAAAACAAAGGAAAGAAGCTGGGTGTTACAATGCAACACAGTGGCTACACAGTGAGACCCTGTTTCAGTAAATTGAATGAATGAACGGACAGACAGAGGGTCGGACAGAGCTCAGTGGGTAAAGGCACTTTCTGCCTAGCCTGACAACCTGAGTTCAACCCCTGAGATCCAGGAGGGAAGGAGAGAAGCAACTCTCCCAAACTGTGCTCTGACCTCCACAAGAGCAGGGCATGCTCACACAGACCCATGAGGATGGCCATTCAAAGCAGTTAGATAGTAACAAGAATTGGTGAGAACCAGAAAGAACTGGAGTGGATGTAAGCTTCAAGGAGGAATATGAAGCTATAGCTCTTTTGGAAACAGTTTTTTCAGACACTAAAACAAAGTAACCACAGGCCTAGTCACAGCGGAGGGGGTAGGCAGAAGCAGGCGGATCTCTGTGCTTTGAGGCCAGCCTGGTCTACAAAGCTACACAGAGAAACCTTGTCTGGAAAAAACAAACAAACAAACAAAAAAACAAAAAAAAAACAAAGTAACCCAGAAATTCTACTGCTAGGTATAAATTCTAAGAGAGATAAAAGTATGTGCTACGGGCTGGAGAGATGGCTCATACGTTAAGAGCACTGACTGTTCTTCCAGAGGACCCGAGTTCAATTCCCAGCAACCACATGGTGGCTCACAACCATCTGTAATGAGATCTGGTGCCTTCTTGTAGTGTGCAAGCATACATGCAGATAACTGTATACATAATAAATAAATAAATAAAATCTTAAAAAAAAAAAGTATGTGCTACATATGAGTGTTTAGGACAGCATTCTTCATAACAGCAAAAAAAAAAAAAATGAAAACAACCTAATGTCCATCAAGATGAATAGGTAAACGAAAGGTGATACATACATAATTGCATAACTGCAAAAAGGAGAGAAGAAATAACACATGCTACAACAGGAGTAAACCTGGAAAAACAGTAAGCTAAGAGAGAAGCAGATATAGAAGACCCCAAGTGGGCTGGATAGACAGATCCTTCCAGGACCTACGTTGTGTTTAACAACTGACCATCTGTAACTCCAGCTCCAGGCCATCTGATGCCTTCTTCTGGACTCCATGGGCACTGCATTCATGTGGTAGACATACATACATGCAAACAAAACACCTTTACACATAAAATAAGTAATTTTCTTAAAAGAGCACAAGTTATACATGCATCCATTGTATGAATGTCCCAAGTCGACAAATCCAAAGAGACAAAGAGGAGATTAGTGACAGGCATAGACCAGAGACCTAAAAGAGAACTGCCAGTGGGTACAGGATTTGTGTTAGGGGTGAGCAGGTGATTGAAGTGATGACCACACACCTCTGTGAAAACACTAAAGCTCACTGAATGTGCACAGGCTAGGTGAAATGAATGGTATGTGAATTATAGGTCAGTGATGCTTTTCAGAATATTAGTAAGGAAGAGGAGTGTTTTGGGGGGAATCACAGGACTGAAAGAGAACATTACCAAATCTATACCTTTTATGGTATAAGGCCAAGATGACCAGACAAGTTTCCTCCCAAATTCTTAGCACACCAAAAGCTCTTTCTTGTCATTCTAGACTTTCTAGGAAGGGTTAGAGGGGAACAAATGAGGGGTATAGGAGACAAAAGAAATGTGACATGGCCAAGTGTACACCAACACACCCAGGTAAGCATGAGAGTAACTGTGCTCGCTGCACACCTGCCTGGAAGGAATGCTGAAGTTCAAGGACATACTCTGTTCCCAAATGCACATATTCAGATAGCAAAGCATTCTTCTAAGAAAGGCCTCCATGGAACCATGGAAGAGGAACTCAAAGAGACACCTGCCTATGTGGAAAGAGGGAAATACACCTGCAGGGGATTCTAGTCCATTCAGGAAAAGTGGAGAAAAGAAGAGACAGAATGAACAGGGAGCAGTTTGAAGCCAAGTGCCAGTCCTCCTCCAGGCAGAACCAAGCGCGCGCGTGCGCGCGCACACGCACGCACGCGCGCGCGCACACACACACACACACACACACACACACACACACACACACACGAGAGAGACAGAGAGAGAGAGAGAGAGAGAGAGAGAGAGAGAGAGAGAGAGAGAAGAGAGGGGGAGGAAGGGGAGAGGGAGAAAGAGAGGAGGGAGGGAGGGAGGGAGGGAGGGAGAGTGAACTATTCTGCCCTCAGGGGAAATTCCTGTCAGAATCAGCCCTGGGCAAAACCTCTTCAATAGAGCTAGGAAACGTGCCCCCCCCCCAAAAGCAGACCACAAGGTGGTCAGCCCTTTTGTCTTTCTTCACCCCAAGTCTGCCTTAACCCTCATGCAGGATAGAGACCAACATAACAAGGGATTGAGGTGAGCATGCAGCCCTGCTTTGATCTCCTTACACCAGACTCAGAACAAGGACAAAAGGGCATTTCACCTATTCATGGGGAAACCATTGGCCCTGAGCAGGGTCAATGGCAGCAGCAGTTGAGCTATCCCGCCTGTCCAGCTGCCCGGAACACTCCTTTTCTCCTTTGTCTTTTAAGACAAGGTCTCTCACGATCTTTCAATCTTGCTACCCCAGTCTCCCAAAGTCTGGGGATTACTGGCCTGGGCCACTACACCCAGCTGCCTACCTGGAACAGTGTTACCAAACCAAGAAAACTCACATTATTTTGGCCAGTATGCCATTCCTAGGACAGCACAGAAACTCAGGGTAAACCACATTAGAGTGCTTCCCGCCAACATTTATACCTTGTATTTTAAATTACGAATATTTTTTCCTAATTAGAAAAGGAATGCATGTCTATTGTCAAACATTTGGAAGAATAAGACAACTTGTAGGACCATGTGGGTCCTAGGGATTGAACTTGGATAATCAGGCTTGGTGCCAAGTACCTTTACCCACTGAGCCATCTCACCAGCCCAACATAATGTTTTATAAACTTTTTCATTGGTGGCGCATGCCTTTAATCCCAGCACTCAGGAGGCAGAGGCAAGGGATCTTTGTGAGTTCGAGGCCAGCCTGGTCTCCAGAGCGAGTGCCAGGATAGGCTCCAGAGAAACCCTGTCTCGGAAAACAAACAAACAAAAAACCAAAACAAAACAAAAAAGAAGTCCAAGCTAGGGCTGGAGAGATGGCTCAATGGTTAAGAGCACTGACTGCTCTTCCAGAGGACCTCGGTTCAATTCCCGGCATCCCACATGACAGCCCACCATTATCTGTAACTCAAGCACCAGGAGTTCCAACGCCTTCACACATATACACATGCAGGCAAAACACCTGTGCACATAAAATAAAAATAAATACTTTTTGAGACATGATTTCTCTGTGGCTTTGGGGCTGTCCTAGAACTAGCTCTTGTAGACCAGGCTAGTCTCGAACTCACAGGAATCCGCCTGCCTCTATATCCAAGTGCTGGGATTAAAGGCACTGCTAAAATAAATAATTTTTAAATTAAAAAAAGAAGAGCAGATACAATGTTTATTTGGTTGGGTAGATGTTTGCGGTAGATGGATGCCAGCATATATTTTTAATCTACTTTGGGTTCTTTTTTAAAAAGATGCTCTATCCCCCTCCTGTGGACATAGCTGGCTTCCCCTGTCTCAACCTCTAACATGATCTTCTATGCCCTGTTCTATGCCCAGCCAGGGCTGGGACTTGTCAAGCCACCATCACCAGCTTCTTCTGCTGGAGGGACATGTCAGCAGAGGTAGAAGGAAGATCCTCGTTGATAAGTTCTAGAGCCCACTGAGTGCCCTCCCCAAATGAACTATATAACTATAACAACATACTATTCTACAGTCTGAAAAACATATACATACTACCAAATAGCCTCCAAAGCCACAGAGAAACCCTGCCTCAATCCCCCCCCCAAAAAAGTGTTAGATCCCCGCCAAAATAAATACATAAATAAAATATTGCCTGTGAGTCAGGGTGAGTTCTAGTCCAGCCTGGTCTACAGAGAGTTCCAGGACAGCCAGAGCTGTTAAACAAAGAAACCCTGTCTCAAAAAACAAAACAAAAACATCAAATATGTATGTATGTATGTGTGGTATGTGTGTATACATACATACATACATACACACACACACACACACACACACACACACACACACACACACACATATATATTTACCTGTGAAGCCCTTAAACTCATGATCTTTCTGCCTCAGCCTCCTAAGTAGCTAGATTACAAGCATGTGCTACCATACTACCTCAAGGAATAATTTTAAGGATGAAGGCAAGTGCAGGTGGCTTTATCTCCTCAAGGCAAATCCCTAAAGGGAGAATTGTTAAGGAAAAGGGAATGCATACTTTCTAAGAATTTACGATACTCTGACAAACTGCCTTCCAGACGATGTGCCAATTGATACCCCGCCAACAGTGTACGTACCTTTAACACCAGCCACTCCACCAACACTCTTGTTTTAAAATGCACTTGCCTGGTATGTGCTAGAGCCCACATCCAATCCTCAGTACCATGTTCTCAAAGCACACACTTAGCTGCATATATGGATGGAATTAATTACTGACAGTTGATTCAAAGTAATCCAGATGGAGGTATAAATGAGAAAAACCTGATTATGCCTTTCTGCAAAGACTTTTGGTTTTGTTTTGTTTTTTTGTTTTTCGAGACAGGGTTTCTCTGTGTAGCTTTTGGAGCCGGCTGCAAAGACTCTTATATGTCAAAGACAATCATGATCTGAGAATGTCAGTTCAGAGGGAGAGTATTTGCCTAGCATGTGTGAAGACAAATATCAGCAAGGCACAATAATATATGCATAGGAGGATGTCCTAATGAAACATTATTTTGTATACTAACTAAAAATTAATAAAAATAAAGTCACTCAGTATGTCCACATATTGTATGTTTTTCTTTGTAATCTAATTTCCTCTTAGCATATAATTTTTTTTTTATCTTTTAAAACAAAAACTTAAAAGACATTTTAAATAGATGATCAAGCTGGGTATGATGGCATACTTCTGTAATCCTAGCATTTATGTAGTAAAGGTAGGAGAATAAGGTGCCTAAGGCCTGACTAGGTTAAATGAGTTTAACTATGTTTCAAAAACTTAAGGAAGCCAGGCTGTGGCTCCCAGCACTCGGGAGGCAGAGGCAGGTGGATTTCTGTGAGTTCGAGACAATCCTGGTCTACAAGAGCTAGTTCCAGGACACCTCCAAAGCCACAGAGAAGCCCTGTCTCGAAAAAACAAATAACCAAAAACGAAAAACTTAGGGAAGCCAGGCAGTGCTGGAGCACACCTTTAATCCATCCCAGCACTCGGGAGGCAGAGACAGGTGGATCTCTGAGTTTGAGGCCAGCCTGGTCTACAGAGAGAGTTTCAGGATAGGCTCCAAAGCTACAGCGAAACCCTTTTTCAAAAACAAAACAAAAACTGGGGGAAAGGGAGAGGGAGTCCAAGTGTGTGACTACCGTATGCAGCCTTTGTACTGGATGATACTGCTCTGTAAGGAAAGTGAGGCTGACCTCGACTAATGAAACCCAAAGCATAAACATCACAGCAATAGTCAGAGCTCTCACAAGAGGGTAAGGCACAGAAAGAGAGGGTTTCCCTGTGGTATTGGTTACCTTGTACCTAACTGGTAACACTAATTGCGTTTCCTCCCTCAGGCTGGGTCCTTCTCTTTCCAAAGTTGCCCTGCTTGCCTGAGATTTCCCTCATTGGCTGGCTCAGATTTCATTCCCATTAGATAGTATGTATACTAACAGCAAGTATTTTTAGCACCTGCTTGCTATAGCATCCTTGAAACCCTGAAAGCAACTGTCTAAATGCTCCTCCTCATGTTCACTCACTACATACAAAACCTTCAGAGTCTACACTGGGCACGGTGGTGCACATCCGTAGTTCCAGCCCTCGGGAGGTAGAAGAATCAAAAACTCACAGTCATCCTCGGGCTGCCTGAGTTACATGAGACCCCATCTTACACCCAAACACTTAAGAATCCATCAAGCCAGTAAAAGTCAAATATCGGATTCAAAAGCACAGCCAGATCAAGGTCTGGTATGACACTTCTGTTTGGCTCTCAAAGCCATGTCTCCTCCATGTTGTCTCTTTCCATTCCGAGTTCCTTTTTAAGCATCCTGTCTGATTCCGGCTCACTGGGGATTCTTATATCCTTTCCAATGCTCCTCTTAGACCTACCAGCCTCGGCCCTCAGGACACCACCCAGGAATGTGTTTGTATATGGACTCATCCCGTTTCTCCCAGGTCTGGGAGCCCTGTCCCACTGGTCTCCTTGCCTCCTCTCCGCCTGCCTCTGGTGCCGGGAAGTGGTGGTGACGTGGTTGAGTGCTAAGCTGACTGCCTTAGCAGAGCCTGCTGGAGGGGAGAACCAGCTCTGCTGCCAAATAAGAAGCTGGAGCCATGTTGTGGTGCCAGGTGCTAGGGGAAACACCCCACAGAGCCTGCTTCCTGGGCACTCACCGGTAGGGAGTTCAAGTCCCTCTCCCAGCTCTTGGTTTCTTCTCATAGCCACTTTGCTGCCCCTCTTAAGACTGCTAGGCAAAAACCTGTCCTCCATGCCTGGGCTCCTGGGCTCCATGAAGGCCTTCTCTCAGCCTGATGACTCACTCTCCCTCAGTCCCTCAGCTGTACCATAAACAGGCCCAGCTGTGTCACATTCCCAGCGGGAGGGAAAACAGCAGCTGCGGGCGGCCCCTCCCCTGGTGTTCAGGCCACTGGACAAGAATCCCCAGAGGCCACGGCCAAAAGACAGTTTGGACCATCTTTTGTAGTGACCTGTTTTTCACAGGAACCCTCAGGGGAGGCTGTGGGGTGACACTCCTTTTTCATATCCAATGCCTCCTGAATCCACTGCCCTGGGGATACACCCTGACTCTAATGAAGTCAGAGGCAAGCAGTGGGTGGGGGCTAACATTTCTAGGCCCGTGGTCCTTTAAAGGGATGACTCTTGTCCCCAGGTAGCTGGTATACACGCCCTGAGTTCAGTAAAGCCTGTATAGGCCAGGATCCAGTCTATCTTGTCCAGACTATCTAACCAGGAGCTAGTCAGGGCAAGAGGACTCGGCAAAGCTGAGCTGTTCCCTAACCGAAACAGGCAGGCATCCCTCAGCACACATCGCCGGGAAGGTCCTTGTGGTCACCTTTCCGCTTCATTGGTGCAAGGGTGGGGAGGGAAAACTGCCTTCTCCCAGCTGCCTCCTGTTCCACCTGCCAGGCCCAGATCCCTGCCGACACCCCCACTGCCTTCTGTCAACCCCGGCACATGTCATGTGGAGCAAATTCATGAGGTAGAACCCCTCTGAGGGCCAATTTTTCCCAAGCCAATGGTCATCAGCTGACTGCTCTGGCTTCCCAAGGTATGGATGGAAATAGGAAATCAGAGGCTACATGGGCTCTGGTACCAGGAGGGTCTTACCTGCTTGGCACCTGGGCTCTCCAGGTAGAAAGCCAATGAAACCCTGCCTGGCTCTAGAATGAGGCTGAGCAGGAAGGCTGCTGGACTCCCATCGGCTGACAGGGGGCCATTTGCTTCCTCCTCCACACCTCCCTCAGGTCTCTTGAGAGGGATGAATATTCTAATCTCCTCAAACTCCAGGCTAATTCCCCTGGGATCATTTCTTCCTCAGGTTTAAAGCCAAACTTCAATGAATAAAATGGGAAAAGCCACAGAGATTTTTTTCTGAACATTTTGTAACCACTTTTCTGTGAGGGTTTCAGACCAGAACTCCCCATCCCGCCCACACTGACAAGGGTCAGGGTAATGAAGTGGAAAAGATATGTTCACAATTTTGGCTGCATCTGCTCTCATCTCTAAGCAACCCAGGCCCTGGATTGTGGGGTGGCGGCCCAGAGACGCCACCTCAGCCGCCGGCCTGTGTTTGTGCTTCAGCTGATGGAGCGAGCTAAAGGGTTGAACAAACTAGAGACATTAAGCAAACAGACTAAAGTGTGCTGACCAGATGTCTGGGGGAAGCCAAGGCTCCACACCATGGGGTGTGTGCTTGCACCAGTGGACAGGCGAGCACCTCCCTCAGGGATGCCAATGCCTCATGCTGCAAGAGACCCGAGTGAACCAGCCCTGACTGTTAGATATCCTCTGAACCTCCCTTCACACTAGAGGAAAGGGCTACAATGTAGAGGGTAGAGTATAGACTCCCAAGGCTCTATGAGGGTGGGGGTGCGAGCTGTGGGCCACCTCCTCCTGGTCTGTGAGGAAAAGGCATTTTGCCAACATGGGGGCCCCTTCTCCACCGATGTGTGTAACAGCCCACAGCCCAGGTCACACAAAGCCCCCTGGGCCTGAGAAAGTCCCCACATGAGGGTTTCCCTGACAACACATTCCCCCACATTCCCAGGTTATCAAGGAGCCATTCTCTGTTTAAAAGCCCTTGTAGATTTGATTTAGGGAGTTCTAAAGGCAACCTTGAAGACTCCTTTGTCCCCAAAATGAAAACACAAATGGGAGACACAAACAGAAAGTATCATTGTGCTGCCAGCGCTGTATCTGGGAGCCAGTCCTGACAGTTCTAAAGGCCTGGGCTGTGTCAGAAGCAGATTCAGCTCTGCTCAGCAGAAAGCCAGTAACGTTGCCTAACGGCTTCAGTCTGTCCCCCACGGCCTGCTTCCTCTTCTCTCTCAGGGTTTATTCTCATGAGAGCAGGTCCCGTGGGAAGCCTCGTGGGACAAGGGACTATGTCCAAGGAGATCCCTCCAGCCTGGGGGAAGGGTGGAGATGACTCAAAAGTACTTAGGGAGCTAGTCTGAACAGCCAGAGGGTCCTGGGGGTCTGGGGTTGCTGACCCTCGCCCTCAGGTGGAGAACAGTGGAGCCTCCAGACTGAAGGTTGGCAGATGTTTTACATAAAGGGCCAGAGAGTCAACATGTCTGTCTTTGTGGGCCATATGGTCTCTGTCCTGACAGTGACAGCCTCTGCAGACAACACGTGAGCAAACCCACATGATGTGGTTCAAGCAAAATCTTGTTTATAAAAACGGGCAGAAGTTTGTACTAGGCCTGAGGTAGCAGGTACTGACCCCTGCGCTCTAGATAAAGATAAAGAAGTCAGAGGACAAGCCCTACACCACCCTAGTAAGCACAGATCCCTCCTACCAAATGCTTTACATAGTACCTGCTCACCATCTAGCCGGGCCTGGTACCTGAAGTGGGTGGGAGATCCAGGAGCTACCAGAAGAGAAACACCACACACACACACACACACACACACACACACACACACACACACACACACAGTGATAATGAAAGCAACCACCACTGTGCAAGCAAATGCCCCTGAGCAAAACAGACACACTGTTTGCCTGGGGGCTAAGTGCATAGTTTTTCTGTAGCCTATTCATGGATCTAAAAATCTAAAAACCCTAGTTTTTTTTTTTTTTACTCCTATAAAAAAATCCTTTTAATAATTTCCTATAGAGAGATTATTTGCATTTCAAAGAGTTGTTTGTTTTTTTGTTTTTTTTTTTCAAGACAGGGTTTCTGTGTGTAACAGCCCTACTTGTCCTGGAACTTGCTTTGTGGACCAGGCTGGCCTTGAACTCATAGGGATCCACCTGCTTCTGCCTCCCAAGTGTTGGGATTAAAGGCCATCACTGCCCCACTTCAAAGAGATTTTTACAAAGTATAAAGAAGAAAGAAAATAACCCAAAGGAAAATTAGATAAACGATACAAAAAAGCAATTCACTGAAAAGACACAGTTACCAATAAAGAGGTGACAGGGGTCAGGGATAGTGGAACACATCTGGAACTTAGCACTTGAAAGGTAGAGGCAGGAGGATCAGGAGTGAAGGCCAGACTGGGCTACACAGCAAGTTCAAAAGAAGCCAGGGTTACATGAGACTCTGTCTTAGAAATAAACAAGTAACAAATAAAAAAAAGGACACCTTGTCTCACTTGTGATTAAAAAAAAAAATTAAATTCTGGCATATCATTTTTCACTGTGTCAAATTGCCCAATGTTTAAAAGATGAAAGAGGGACCTCTTTAACCCTAGCACATAGGAAACAGAAACAGGCTCTGTGAGTTTGGGCTAGCCTGGTCTACATAGCAAGTTCCAGGCCAGCCAGGGCTACATAGTGAGACTTTAAAGAAACAAAATGAAAATAAATAACTAAAAGATGAAAGAGGACCAGCAAGATGGCTCACTGTATAAAGGCATTTGAGATCAAGGGAGTTCCTTCCCCAGAACCCACATGATTGAGGAGACACCTAACTCAGAAAGCCATCTTCAGACCTCCACGTGAGTTTCCTGTGCACATGCCTACAAACACACACAACAAACTAATCAAATCAAATAAATGTAAAAAAAGAAATCTTTAAAATGAATGATGGAGCCGGGCGTTGGTGGAGCATGCCTTTAATCCCAGCACTCGGGAGGCAGAGATAGGCGGATCTCTGTGAGTTCGAGGCCAGCCTGGTCTCCAAAGCAAGTGCCAGAATAGGCTTCAAAGCTACACAGAGAAACCCTGTCTTGAAAAACCAAAAAAAAAAAAAGAATGATGGAGATGGAGCCAGGCGGTGGTAGTACGTACTTTTAATCCCAGCACCTGATCAGGAGGCAGAAGCAGGCAGATCTCTGTGAGTTTGAGGTCAGTCTGGTCTACAGAGGGAGTTCCAGGACAGCCAGGGCTACACAGAGAAACCCTGTCTCAACAAACCAAAAGAGATGAAAGATGTAGTCTTGGAGGGGGATATGAAAAAGGCACATTATTGGGATTGTAACTGTGGATAGCAAACTCCATTTTAGAAGTCCCCTTGAAAGCATATATTAAAATTTAAAACATGCTAATCCTTATTTTACAGAAATACACGTACAGAATGTTCACTTGAAGAGTGTTCACAAAGGGAAGAACTGGAAACCAACTTGAGCATCCCTGAGTGGAAAACTAGCTAAGTGGGTTATAGTTCATTTCTACATCAGGATAGCATGGAACAGAACAACAGCAAGGACAATCACTGGAGCTAAAGTAAGAATGCAGAACTCTAGGTACTGGCAGGAAAATGGAAGACAAATTATGTAGATAACACAAGCTGATACAGACAAAGCCAAAAGAATAACCCTGATATGCAGACAAAACAACACTCAACAATATATTCTAAAATTGATGGAGGTAAGACATTTAGAATTTTGCAGTCTACAGTTGTTTAAATTTCCAAAATGGTGAATATTTAAATACATGTTTTTATTTTGTAACAACAACAAAATAAGAAAAGTCAAAAAATACTTAGAGGTTCATTACTTTTTCCTAAAAGTACCTTGGACAACAGCTTCCAACTTCATTTTAAAGGCTTTAACATGGAGATAGTGGCAGGGAGGGATATGGACGAGCAGAAAGGTAGGTATGTGTGGAAATGTCATCATGAAATCTATAATTCTGTGTGCTAACAAAGAGTAATGAAAAAGGAAGCATACACACAAATAAAGGTTTGCTTTTTTTGGAATGTTTTTGTTTTGATTTGTTTTTTTGTTTTTGAGATAGAGTTCTGCTGTGTAGCCCAGGTTGACTTCAATATTCCTAAGAACCAGGATTATATGTGTATCACCATTTCTGCCCCACAGGGTTTCTTTCTTATTTTAATTTTCTTTTTTTTCTTTTTGAGACAGGGTCTCTCTATTGTCCTGACTGCCCTGGAGCTCAATGTGTGGATCAAGCCAGCCTCGAACTCACAAAGACTCTCCAACCTCAGTCTGAGTGCTGGGATTAAAGGTATGGGCCCCCACAGCAGGCTCCTACAAGATTTCTCAGAAGGAACTCCCCATATGGTGCTTTTCATCTATTTGTCTTTTACTGTTACTGTTTGAGCCAGGGTCTGGTGGAGCCCAGGGTAGCCTCAAACTTCCTATGGAACAGAATGGATGCTGTCACTGTTTCAGACAGGGTGGCCCTGAACTTCCTATGGAACTAAGCATCACCCTAAACTTCTCCTGATTCTTTGCTCCTCCTAAGTGTAGGGATTGAAAGAACAAGTTATGGTGTCTAGCTATCCTTTGTCACTATTTCAGGGGTACAAGTGCAAGGCCTCATTCTGAAGCCCAAGAAGACCTCACAGTCACACTCATTCTGGTCTCCCCACTGCCTCCCGAGGGCTG